CAGTGTATTATTTGTTGAAACTGTACTTCCGATTTGATTTGAAACTGTCTCATTGCTATCTGTTTATCAATAAAACTTTGAAAAAAAATCCCCTGTTCCACCAAAAAAAAAGAAAGAAAACTTTGTCATGTATATACCATTTAGTAACAATTAATTAGGTAAAAAAATTATGTATTAAGTAGAGATGATTGGTCAAAAGTTATGCCAAGTGAAAATTAAAGTATGTCACAAAATGTCATCAGGATTGTCCTGCTACAATATTGTATATGGTCTTGATTTCTAAATTTCTGTGTAAAAATATGCAGTTGTTGTCTTTTAATGTCCTATAGGGATTTAAATATTAGAATACTCATGATTGTTAGAAAATAACAGTTCCGTTTTATGTCCAAGGCAGTTGATATTCAGATAGATAGCAATGTTAAGCTCATTGCCTCTGTTACAGGATAACGCCATTAAGCTTCTCTTTTGGATGTTTAACAAGTAAAGTTTGGAGACACACATTTAGAGGATAGGCTAAACGGATAGCCAATATTTTGGCCCTAGCCCTTCAAGGTCATTGAGGACTCAGGACATAAAAGAACCTCTGTTGTGATGTCCTGTAACTCAGTTACATCCCAAATTTTCTGATCAAGAAGATTATGGAGCCACACAGAAAAGTGATTGATGATGTATAGTGTGCCTAAGGAGGGTCACCTAAAGAGAAAAAAAAGTCTCTCAGGCTTTTACAGAAAGCAAATTAAGCAATGGCCGTGACTCATTCAGATAGCTGACACTGACAGAAAATCTAAGAGGTGCTGTACATAGTTAATCTCTGAGGAAATTAACTGACCTTGTCAGATAGCAAAAGTTAAATTTGTATTTATACACATCTTGCTTTAACTTTGTCTTGACCATCCAGCAGAAAACAACAACTTCTGACAGTTACCAGATATATTAATAACTCACTAATACTATGGCCTATTGGACTATATAGGGTTACATTGCTGAATTCAAGTACCTAAAATCTTTGGGCTGGCATCAAGTACGGAAAGGTCTTCTAAAGAAGTCTCCAGACACAGCCTCTCTAACTGCAAATGAACACCTATCTTTGACACAACAAAACAGAAAAGGGGGAAAAGTTGGGAGCCGTGGAAGCTGTAAAGTTGGTCAAATGTGTGTAGGTGGGACTAAGTCTCAGTGCCTAAAGCAAACAAGATACCTTAGTTCTGAGAGAAGCATCCTGACGAGTTAATATTGGCTATTAGTCATTAGGCAATGTGTGTCACATGTTACTAACTTTGAAAAGGTATACATAAACATCCATATTGTTGCTCTGGAGGGTTGTCTCACCAACCAGGCAGACAAGTCACCACCTAAGCCAGCTATTGTCTTCTTGTCTATCTTTTCCTCATTCCTGCCACCATTTCTTCCCAGGTAGAATGGATCATACTGAGACCCATGGATCCTGACAGCAAATCCCCATGCTTCCCAACCAAGACTTGGCCAGTGTCCTCGTAAGTGCTATTCACACAGTCCTAGCTGTCCTCTTTGACCCCTTCATCCTGTTCATTCTCTTTTTAATTATTCTAACTCCTGCATTTTCTGACCCCAAAGGTACCTCCTAGTGGCACAGATTTCACCATCTTCCCTCTCTCACAGTGGACAAGCCACTCCTGTCTCTCATAGGTCCTTGCTAATATAGATGAGTTTTGTCAGTATTGAGCAAAGCTCCACCTTTAGTGAGCCAATTGGTGAGAAAGTTGGTGGGCAAACATACCCTTGCAACAATCTCCTTCACTTGTGTCTGACTACATTGTTACGGGTTCTGCCATGAGAACTGGAATACATTGCATATCAGTTCACAGTGGGCACTCCTGACCAGGTATTCTCCCCACTGCACACGTGTCTGGGGACCAATGTCTTTCTAGGATCACCATGTCCCTCTGGGTTACATCTTTCTACTCCAGACTGCTCTGATTCATGCTCCGGGTGTGGAGTGAAGAGCAGACATATATACTTAACACCATGTTTATTTAGCTCCCTGCTAAAAGTATGTAATGACTTTTCTGCCTTCTGTAATAAGGTCCACAAAATATAGCCTGCACAAGGACCCCCAGGTTCCCTCACCTACTGCTTCCAAGAGCAATTTGGTTAGCCACACTTTCCCCAAACTGTATGGTTCATCTGTGTTTGGGCACTTATTCCACAGCCTGATCACATCTGACTGTCCACTGAGTTCTGCCTTGCCATACCTGCCTTTCCTAGGTCTTAGCACAGCTTGGCAGGCATCCACCCGCATCTGCACACTGAAAATCTCATGAAGAGCTCCTCTGCTGCATCTCTGCCACATTCCAAGTGTCCACTGTTCCTTGTCACACAGCAATATGGAGTAGTCCTCTAGACAAAGTTAAATTTTTCTGTTCTACTTCTTCAGGGAGCCTCAAGAAGAGAAAGGCAACACCTTCACTGTTCTGCAAAAACTATCACACATACGTAGGACAGAGCACATTTGTGAAAGGGGAGTAATCCCTCCGTAGAAGCATCTTCCATGGAGAGGGAACAATGCTTCTGCTTTGCTTGCCTGTCTTAGTGAGGTATGTGCTCAGCTACGATATGTAAGAAGTCTGAGAGCAGGGCCAGCAAGATTGCTCAGCAGTCTAAAGTGCCTGCTTAGACAAGCTTAGGTGGGCCCAGGGGACTGAAGTTCCATCCCCAGCACTACATGACATGCCAGTCTCGCCCTCAGGATGGGCTGAGCCAGGCTCCCCCCACCAAAAAAAAAAGTGAGAGCAGTGACTTTGAGCCTCCACCATGGCCATGGAATCTGCCCGCTGTCCTACCACCTGTGAGCTGGGTATCAGCTCTGCACAAAGCACACACATAGTACCACAGGGACATCCCCACGGCTACTGAGGACCTGAACAGAGGAGAGGAAGCATGTGGCTGCTGTTTGTGGGTGGCTGAGTCTAGATCACAAGATGCTGCCCAAAGAAGTGCAGCTGTGAAAGACTGACTTTGCTACTGAGGTAGGAGAGCTGGACGCTGGACGCTGGACACTGCCCCAAGATAACAGAGCCCTGGGTGAGAGGGAGTTTCAGAGCTAAGTGTGTCCCACGATAGGTGCTGAGGCTTGCAGGAGATAAGATGAGGATTCAGAGCTCTCATGAGGGTGAAGACACCTGAGCTGTTCAGATCCTGTGTCCTTCTACCAAAGGGATCAAAAGTTCAGTCACAAAGAAGAAATCTGCCTATTTTGGCACTTTCCAGTTCCCATACTTCCTGTTGATAAAAACACTTTCCTGAGCCCACCAATGAGCTGCTTCCCAGAAGTAGGGCAGGCCCTACAGTCTCTCCTGAGAGTCCACTTGAAGCTGAAGGCTGCAGCCACTCTGCACATTCTTGGATCTGTCATATCTGGTAAGGGGACATGGGTGAAAATTCAGGCACCTCACTGTGGACCTAAAGACCCAAAGTGTCTTGGGGAATCTGAAAATTGGGACATTTTGGTACTTGAACTTTTTACCTTGCCAGCATTCTACATATGTATAATAGAGAAAATGAGATTTTGCTCAGTCTTCTGCTAGAGAATACAGGATTACTGCTATAGAGATCTTAGGAAGGGACCAAAGAGCAACAGACACCGGGCCTGGCTGCCACACACCACATGCCATCTGAATGCACCAAGAGCCTCAGAAAATCAGAAATAAGACAATGCATTTGTAATGGAGGGGTGTTTATAGATGTGTGCTTCATATAAGTTATTCTATTAAAGCCTCAAAAATTCTACAAAGCAGGGTATTTTTCTTTCCTGTTCTGCATAGGAACATATGCAGGCTCAGGTAGATTAAATGACACATCAAAGGTGACACAGCTAAAAATAGGAGGAAAAATGGGAGGAACGATGTTCCAGTGCTATGTTTCTGCCCTTCAGTTTCTAGTAGTGGTGGGCTGTTTACTTTGGTGTGACAGCAGAAGGACACATGCTGGCCAAGGTAGCCATGGTGCCTGGGCAGGTGCCTACGTTCCTGGGGTACTCACACGGCTTTCTCTTTCTTTGGTAGGGCTGCAGGGAAATCCTACAGGCAGATTTGCCTGTCTCAAGGACTGTGAAATTTTAGACGCAGAAGTAGCACCATGGCTCCTTATCACATCTGCACATACCAGGAGAGTGACCGAAAAACAGTCGTGCACTTGTATGGCAGTAGTTTGACTGAGCATACCCCTACCACCTTCAAATACCTACTGAAGCAGCCTGGAATGCTACTGCTGGAGCTTGGGATGCCCCTGTCCTTACTTTTGGTCTCTGGCTCCTGGCTGTTCACTATCATGGCCAGCCTCACTTTGCTCATCTTCTTGTGGTTCCTTATCAGATTCATGTGGCAGCAATTTCTGGTCATCGCTTTGCGCACTGACCTGGCCGACATCACCAAAACCTACCTGAGTGTATCTGACTCCTGTTTCTGGGTTGCCAAGTCTGGGGGGCAGGTGGTGGGCATTGTGGGTACTCTGCCCGTGAAGAATCTCCCACCAGGGAAGAAGCAGTTGCAGCTGTTTCACCTCGCAGTGGACATGGAGCACCGAGGCATGGGGATGGCAAAAGCCTTGGTCAGGACTGTCCTCCAGTTTGCCCGGCACCAGGGCTGTAGTGAGGTTTTGGTTGAGACAACACTGATACAGTATCATGCCCAGGCCCTCTACCAGGGCATGGGTTTTCAGAAGACAGGCCATTATTTTGCGAACATGTTCTGGAAGCTAGCAGGTATTCCTATGATTAAGTTCATGCACCACCTCCCATCTGCTCAGGATGGGAGCCTCTGATCTGTTTGCCTTGTATTTTGAAAAACATGATTGATTGAATCTTTTGGAGCCTTGAATAAACCATGACATTTGAGTTACAAATCATGTTTCATTGCTTGTACCCATCCGTGTCCAGCATGTTTGATGGTGGCATTCAGGCAGTGGGAGCGCTTCTCCACTGTCTTTGTGGATTGCCCCACTTCATTTTTCTAGCGGCATGATCATGCTACTTTACAAACAACAGTATCACAATTACAGGTGCACATTTTCACAGAAGTTAGGATCCAGCACTTTCTGTTGAGTTTGGCATGGATGTTGTTAGTCTCAGCATATCTGTGCAAATGTCCTGATTTGGCTTCTATTTGGGGACCTGGTCGTATCCTGTTCCAGCAGTCTGAGATAGAGTTCAAGGTCCCTGAAGAGCTCCAGACAATAGTAAAATGTAGAAAGGTATGAAGGTTTTGGAAATTCCTTCAGGAATCACATGTGGAAGTACCCTTTCTGAAGGAGAGAAATTGAGCCACATCTATCATGGAGGAGGTGTAGTCCCAGAGCTAGAGGGTAGGACTCAGTCCTTTAAGAAGACCTGGGCAGTGATATGCTGTATGTTCTCTACTCTAGTGCACTAATGGTGAACCTTGTATACACTAAGTGCCCGAACTGCAATCCAAAACCCATGTACTTATTGCAAAGTTAAACACTGGATTTAAACCTGAATAGTTAATTTCTGGTTTAAAAAAAAAAAAAAAAACTTTGGCAATGCTGGGCTCCTGGAGTGGCTTGGCTCCCACTCTGACAGGTGTACGCATGCCCCTGTGCATGTGTGCATCATAGGCTTTTCACTTAGTGCACATAAAGAGCAGAAGGGCAGGAGGACTTACCATAGAGGATGTTTTCAGAAGGAGATCTGGATACTGAGAAGACCTTGCTGTGTAGTTGGGGGAGGGGTTGTTCCTGTGTGTACAGCAAGAGTGAATCTTAAGAAAGTGAATGTTCTGTCACTATGAGGACCCAGACTGACCCAGCTTTGTCCCCATGGGCTCCAGTACTACCTGCCTTGTTCTGACCATGTCATCCTGGAAGCTTCAGTCCAAGGGAGGGTGGGCATATGGGCCTGTGATGATTTTTGCAGGATTGGTCCTATTACCAGTCACTTTATCTGATCTCTAGGGAGCCAATGGAGTTCTGGAATCTCTCACTGGGTCTCCCAGTCCCAGCCTGACCTGCAGAATGCCTGAGTCCAAGCACTTCTTGGCCAACTTCTTGTAACTGAAAGCAATGTGATGGATACTCTCCTAGTTTGACATGTATCTTCTTCTCTACTGAAGGGTCAGTTGGAGCACACTCCACAATCATGCACCTGGTCCTGACACAGCTAATTACAACCTTTGCCCCTTTGTCATATTCACGGCATGATTTCAAATGCAATTGATTTGTTGACTGGAGCCAGGCCCCTCTCCCCACTCCAAGCTGGTCAGCTTGACCCTGGCCTTACCTTGATGGACTCACAATTTTGTCAGCCAAACCTGCCCTCTCCTTCAGTGCTGCCTCCCTGTGCTTCTCTGCACTCAGTCATTCATGCATCTATCCCATGCCCCTAACATGCCCCTTCACATCAGGGGTTTGCTATCTCCTGGGCTGTCTTGCTATTCTCTCCATTAATGGTGGGGCCTCAGGACAGGCTGTTGAGGTAGAAGAAGGCCGTAGAGCTTCCTCCATTTGTTGCTACTACCAGTTGCCCAGCGAGGCCATTTCTCCAGGAGCTGTTCCCATGGAACACAAGGCTGGGGTGGGTTGTGAAGAAGATCAGGCTGGTTGCTTTGCTTTGGAAGGATCTTTCAGTAGCAGAGAAATGCTTTTATTAATCTCTCACACACATATGGTTGGGCCTTGCTGGGATCAGGACCCAGAAAGGCTGAGTGACCAGAGTAGGGCCAGGATGCAAACTCAGGACCTAAGTTGAATGGGGCTCCCTGAACTTTGGGTAAGGTTTCCCCCACTAGTGCAGGCTTCCACCAGAGACTGGGCCTCTGCTTCTGCAGCCTGGCCTCCCTCACTCTGTGCTCTGCCACCTGATCTGTTTCCCTCAGTCCTATTGTTGGTCTTCAAGTACTTGGTTCCTGTTAATTTTACTATTAACTTGAAGAAAATCCCAGCAGAATGGTTTAGGACAGTTCTGGGTGTATCTGGATGATTGGCTTACCGGACACAGAACACCCACCTGGTTTACTAACCAATGGGCTTATAGTGTGGATGGAAGAAAAAGGAAAGAAAAGGAAGCTTACTTTTGCTTCTTTTTTTTTTTTTTTCGAGCAGTTCAAGTGACTTTAAGGTTCGTCTTTACCTCTTTTCTTCAAGAATGTATACGTATCTAGCACATTAAATATTTTGTAACCCATAACATAAAATAATCAGTGTCATTTGTATGTAAAGCCACAGCCTATAGTTTTAAGATATTTTAAAGTCTTCCCACGAAGCATTCAAAATCCAGGGAGTTTTCAAAGAATAAAGAAAAAAAGTAGTCAAAGGAACAGCTGAGAGACCAGTGGGGCTTGAGGGGCATATGTATATTTGGATTTTAAGATGTAGCGAGAACGAAATGATCAAGAGACCAAATTGAAAAACGATGTTTGACACTTTTTTTCCTTCCCTTGCTCTGACTGCAGGGGGATATCTAATTGCTTCTGTTTCCTCCAATAATAATCCCATAAATAACAAAAAGGCCTCGTGTGCCTCTGTTCCCTCAGTATCAGATAACTATCTTGACTGTTTATGCAGTCAGTGCATTAATTTTAGGGCAGG